AGAAAAGATTAAAGAAAAGAATATGAGAAGACTTCTGAGAGCTGAGTTCTTGATTAGAAAGGACAGGTTAAACTAAAAGAAAAAAAAAAGGAAATACAAGTATAAATGAAAGAATCCTGACAATAACTCTTGGTTGAAAAAGGAAGTTAAATTATTTATTATTAGAAAATTAGATTTAAACCATTATTTTAAAAAAGAGAATAGTTTAAAAAGAAAAAATTGCCAACTAAATTTAGTAAAAAATTCTTTCGATTTGAAACCATCTTGTTATGATTTCGTTGGCTAGCTTGGTGTAGCTTTCTAATACAAACAATAACCTTAACCGGTGAAACAAACTACACTTGGATACCCATAAAGAAAGCTGAGTGATGTCGGATCTATAGTTTAGATAGTTTAGAATATACCTGTACATTTGCTTTGATTTAATAAAGATACCAGCGAGGCTGCCGATACTTGGAAAAAAAAAACTTAACCTAGATAATAAATATAATTAAATTTTTTAAAAAATTTTATGAAATTTGACCCAGCTGGGTTATGAGAACCAATTTATTAAATTTGTATAGCCTAAGTAAAAAAAAATTAATTAAAAATTATATAACAAACAATTTTTAATAAAATTATTATTTTATCTTGTAATATCTTTGTGGAAATCTTACATTTTTGCGATAGCATTAGATCTAGTATAAATTATTAATAATATAGGTCGTTAAGAGGAGATTTTCATAGTAAATCGCAAATTTAGTTTCTTACTAGCACTATTAACGAAGTTTTTTGACGGAGTACGAAAATTACTAATTTTTCATACTCCGTCAAAAAACTTCGTTAATAGTGCTGGTAAGAAAAATTTGCGATTTACTATGAAAATCTCCACTTGACGGCCTATATTATTAATAATTTATACTACGTAACTCCAGAATATTTTGACGCTATTGCAAAAATGTAAGATAATTTAATACGCATTAAAAAAACATGATTAGTAATAAGGATAAAAAATAAAGCTGCTACTATAAAAATAGAATGACATAGAGGCGTAGATACAATTAAAATAAATTTGTATCGTAACTTATACTATAAAAGCTTTGTTTACTTGTATTTATATTTTATTTTTATAGTATATAGCAGCTTTATTATTTTATTCTTATTATTATTACTAAATCATGTCTTTTTAATGCGAATTAAATTATACTGTATTACAAGACAAAATAATAATTTTATTAAAAATTACCTATTATATAATTTTTAATTAATCATTTTACTTATAGATATCAAAAACATTGCATATAAAAAAATCATTTAATTACAAAATTATATATAAACTGATACACTTTAGATATTATAAATGGTTATAAGCTTTATAATATTTAAAATTCAGATATGCATCTATTAGATCTTGAAATATTGTAAATTAAAATTTTTTTTCAAGTGGATCAATATTTTTGACAGATACATTTATCAAATGATCAGGTCATTTACCATTCCTTTCTAAATTCAGAAATAGTACGTACCCGTATGCATCAAAAATTATTACATCGCCACAAAAGATCACCGTCCCTGTAGTCGACGAAATCGGATCTGCCGCACATTTTTTGTATGGCATCGAATTACTCTGTACAGTTATAAAACAATTTCTTTGACAAATTTATATAGACATATTCAACTATCGTTATCGCTACTGTATCTTGAATTAGGGCTGATACGTACAAACTTATGAATTTTGGGCTGAATTCCGGATCTTTCTTGTGACCAAACCTGTAACATAATCGATGGTTACGATAATAGTATAAAAACCCGACACTTACGGAGATTTAGACATTTATATTTCCTTTTACTCATTGCATGTTTGTCACAGAGACGCAAAATTCCGAATACATACGGACGTATCGGTATATCGATATACACGACGTATCCGTATATCTTTTTTTTTTTTTTTTACGCCTACAATAAATTTATACCGATGCAGTATTATGTAACATATAACGATAGGTTAAATCGACCTAATAATTGATTTAGTCTCACTCATTTCCTAATGTCATCAAGATAATGGAGGTGAAGGGTAATTTGATGATAAACATGATAATGGTTTTAACTAACCAAATTTGAAAGAAGTGATAGAATTAAGTAGGATACATAAAAAAACCATTTTATTTACCGGATGCACGCCACGTAGTTTCTAAGCAGATTAGATCACGAGAGGGGTTCAGGCGTTTTTTAATTACTAATAGATCCGATAACTTAAATTTCTTTTTTTAAAAAAATTGAGAATCTGCACATTTTTGATTTCCTTGTGAGCAAAATATTAATGTTGTGTGTTATAAATTTTGCAGCTTAGATTTGTATATATACAAAAAGCTTTCCTTAAGAAATTTTTTTGGCTTTATTGAAAAATTATTTTTTCATAATATTAACATTCATTGTAAAAACACATAATGCCTCTGTTTATTACCGGTACAACACTTGCAATTGGTGGGATAGTTTTATTATATACTCTCCAATTTGATATGCTTTATCCTTCAAATTGGCCAAGTGGATCAAGAAAGTTTGTAAGTTACAATATGATATTACAATAATCAAGCATAAAATTCCAAATCTTCACTAATATTCTATATATTAAAGGTAGTGAGGCCATCTAAATACGGAATCCCATATTCAGAAGTAACGATAACCACTAGAGATAACGTTCGTCTTAAAGCATTTGTTTGTAAACGTCCAGTAGATCAAGAAGCGCGCAAAAGACCAACGATACTGATGTTTCATGTAATGTAGTAAAAAATTTATAAATGAATAAATTTTGAACGAATAACATTATCTGATTTATTGAATTTAATA